TGGAATTGCACGTGGACGGAAATAGATGAACCTCTCATACAAAAGAAAAAATGAGATTGATATGGTGAAAATTAGGCAAATCACGAAGGGTAGACAAGAACATCAATCAGAAAATTGATCACTCAACTTTTGGAAAGCAACAATAATAATGATGTAGAAGATGTTGTCAGACTCGTGTGCCTCTTGGTTGTATCCAAGCTCTACAACAACAATTGGTTAGGGATTCATGAAATATATCGAACATATTGATAGGATGAAAGTTTATGATTGGTGCAAAGCAGCAAAAGAACAACTCACAAGATCAATATGAAACAACATCAATCAAATCGATAGTGTCCAAATGTGTGATGGTCTTATTGGTAATTAAATAGCTCATTTACAAGATATAATATATAATATTTAAAGTACTATACACATTTATAACAATTTTTTTGTCTTCAACAATATTGGATTTGCGAGCATACAAGCATAATAAAACCAAATCAGAAAGATGGAATTCCAAGATTTACAAAATGGAATATCTCACAAATTGGAGAAAATTTGGCAAAATTAGAACTGAAGAATCTGCAAAATGTTGAGGTATGCAATATCTAATTGTCACTGAAAATGGATTGAGTTACAACCTTTTAGACAAATCAATGATAAATTTCTCACTGTGAAGTTATGAAAATTCAATAACAATATACAACATATTGAACCAACCCATGATAAATTTATCACTGACAGATCAATCATACTATACATTCAACTCTCTCCCAGTGACAAAAATGATAAATTTATCAATGTTTAAAAAACCTTGAGCAACAATATACAGCATATTGAATCAACCAATGATAAATTTATCACTAAAATTTGTGTCTTATCTTATTAACTATTATATTTTTCATTCATATAAGTAAGAATCTGGAAGAGACAGATATAGAGCAAAAAAATTACCAAAGCTTGGTACTCCAAACCAATGATGAAGAGAAAGATAGTGATTTTGAGGAAGAAAAGCAAACTCAAAAAGGAAACAATTCTAAAGAAGAAACAAAAGAACAAGAACAAGAAGAAACAATGATGAAAGAGAAACTCACTGCAACAAGAATTTCTACAAGATTCAAGCAAACTAAAAAAATCAAAGCATTCTGAAAACTTGAAGAAGAGAAAGAAACAATAATGAAAGAGGCATGCGGTCCAACAAGAACTTCCCCAAGATTCAACCAAACTCAAAAAGCAAAGCATTTTGAAAAACTTGAAGAAAAGGAAGAAACAATGGTCAAATAGAATTTCGGTCCAACTTCTTTATTGGGATTCAAGCATCAAACAGTGGCTCAAAAGAGAAAAGCAACAAGTTTGCAATAAAATAAATTAAAATAAGGTGCAAAAAGGAAAGTCTGCTATGAAATAAATCTCTTGAATGTGAAAATTAATGAACATGCCTTTGAGAAACTAGAAGAAGATGTTATCATAATCCAAAAGTTGGAAATGGAAAAGGCAAGAATTCAAGCAAAAAATGATGACCTCAAGGACCAGATCATGAAGCTCAATAAACAGATGGCAGATATGAGGAACAGAGCAAACACACATATAGAAGTCAAAGATGTGGAAATAGAGCTCCTTAAGAGTATTGCAATACTAGTTGAATCAAATGTCCACCTTGACAGTCAAGAACAAGAAATTGCAATCGAGGCTGAAGGCACTTCTCCAAAAAAAAAAACCGCCTCTTCTGAGCTCAATGATAAAAATGGTCAAAAATAGAGAAGCAAGAAGAGAGCACAAGGATCTAGATTTTTGGTACATGGAGAAAAGAGAACCAAACCAGAACAAAAAAACTTGATGAAGTACAACCAATGCTTGAGGAAAAGGCAAAGACCATAAAAGAAGAGAAGACACACCAACAGCCTCCAACAAAAGAAATGCACACTTCTTATCCAATGTTTCACAGATTGCCAAAGAAATCAAGGATAAAACTCACTACCCTTTAGGCAACCAAAACCAATAAGTAAGAACATGATTTGGTCCTACATTTGCAATTTGGAATCTAAATTTGGCTATATAGCCTATAGGCTATATCATTTAACAAATGTATCGATTACATATCTATGATAATGATAAAAAGGTAATTACCAGTGTTGGTTCCACTGTATTGGGAGGGGTGGACCTAGGTAGAACAAACTAGCTATACCTACAGACTCAATCTCACATTTTCATGCTTGACTTCCCAAAGTTTCGAAGCCATGGCCCATCTGCTTTATAACATGCACCACCAAATATAACACAATCCAATTTTGCATTGTGGCACATGCCCAATGAAAACTTGCATTGCAAGACGCATATAATGTAGATCTCAAAGAACACGACCAAGAAAACCTTATAGGTGATACTCGTGTAACTACTTGTCTCCTATGTTGAAAGTTCATCTCTGCCAAAAGTCATTTTAATCTAACATGTCATCCCATCCACAGTGTTACATGAATCTAGAAAATTCAATATGTGGACACAAAAGATTTCCCAACAAATATATTGAGAATACTATTCTAGTCTTCTAGATTTTATGATAAGTTAAAATAGCACCCCTACCTACAAAATTAGACCACTATGCAACTTTTTCATCTTTATTTCCATACTCACTGATAAAGTTTTCACTTTAGAAAATAACAAACCAGCAACTGTGTTCAACCAAAACAATTTTGCAACAAAAAAAAAAAAAAAACAAAAAAAAGTCCAAAAATAACAAAAAAAAAAAAAAAAATCCAATATTCATCACATATATACATATCTCAAAGCTTTTAATATCATAATCAAAACACAAATTCAATCACAAAAACATCATAACAGTAATATTACAAACCAAATCAAAATCACCAACTCAAACTAAAAGTACATAACTCTGCATACATATCCATTTATATAGGTTTCACATAATGATACACTATTCTTACAACAAATCAACAAAAAACAAAACGGTCTCCAAAATCACAAAATCAACTTCAAATCGCAAACACAACACCAAAATCACAATATCACAATATCAAAGTCACATAATCACATATATATATAGATAGATATATATACATATATGTGTATGTATCACACAAACCAAAAACCTAACAAAATCACAAACCATATCACAAAAATCAACTCCAAATCGCAAACACCACTCCGCAATCATCAACTCCATATCACAAATCAATTGTAACAACTCCAAATCACAAACAAATTCGAACACAACGCACTAATGATCTCCAAGCGAAGAATCAATTTCATTCACTCACAAACTAGTTCCAAATTCAAAGTCCTGGTCCCAAAAGCTCACGAAAATCAAACAGAACTACAAAATTCAAACCAAACATGCAAAGTATAACAACAAAAGGGCAAAATTGAGATTTAAAAAATGTAACAAGACTTGTGCATGCATGAGATAGAAACTCAGAACCTAAAAGGTAATATATTGGCTTATTAGGATCGGCTAGTAAGACACCTTATTTTTATCATGAAGTGCTAAATGCAAATATTCCTTACAAGACCTTTGTATTCGAGCTCACCCAATCCCCAATAGGCCATTTGTTGGTTGAGAAAACTAAACAAGGCTCCTATTTATGAAAAAATAAAAGGATAAATTACATTGACATCAATTTAACAAAATTATAATAAAATTCAAAATTTTGACATAATTACACAAATCTTCATTCTATGTCAAATTTGTGGGTGCAGTTAAAGTAGCTGTTATAGAAGTATTTTGTGATGTCATCAAAAGAATTTCTTAAATGTTAAATTTACCCTTCATATTTAAAACAAAACTAAATTTATTATTTTATTTATCCAATAAAATTATATATGTGTGTGTGTATCGAAACACCCAAGTCTCGCTTTCTGTCTCATTTGCATCGCATTGCCTGTCACCTCTCTCTACTATTGTCATTGCCTTCCCTCCACCTCATTCCATTACTAATTGCTACTTAAACCCCTCCACCTCCCTTTTCACTTTTGTGTGATAATAGTGCATATAGTGACTTTGGATTTAGTGGATTTCAATCACTAGTGGGCGTTATATCTAACAGTGTTGTGCAGAGGGCAATGGGTTTGTCATGGTGGCATGCAAAGGAATGACTTTGTTGCTTTGATCCTTTTCTACTTCATTCTCTCATCTACATCACCTAAACCCTCAGGAAAGATTTATCAGACAATGCATTGTTGCTTCATATCATGCCTTCATTGATGAGGGCAATGGTGCGTCAATAGAGACCGCTACAGTGGCAAAGATGAGTGGCACTAGTACCTTTGGGCAATGACGATGGGTGATTAGTGTAACTTATGTGGTATAGAGTGGGATAACAATGATGGTGCCCTAGTTGCTCTGCCTATGTAAAACTAAAAAGATATATCAGCTAGGGTTATTAGTTGGGGTTTGTTTTGGAAGATGATGGTTGTTTGTGATGATTTGGTTGTGAAAATCTGGAGATTGTTGATTGAAGGTAGTGGTCATGAGAGAGAGAGAGATTGCAGGAGGATTAGGGAGGTGAAGATGATGGAGTGAGAGGTAAAAATGTAATTTAATGAGGATAGAAAAGGGTAAAAGACTAATTAAACAATGTCCATTACCTCCATTTAGATCTCCATTATTGGAGAAGTGTATGTTATTATGCAAAAATAATGGAGCAACTTGCAGTTTCTCCGAATCTCGAGAGAGGTTAGTATAATTTGTCCAGGCAAAAAAAAAACACAAATCCTAGTAAACAATGGAATATGAAGAGCACCAATTAGCACCCTTCAAAGTTGCAGTACCAGCAGGGAACGGCAAAGTTGACTCTGATCGTGTAGTGTAGATCCATAATATCGAGCAATGCACAACCCCCGTTTGGTAAAACTATTTTTTGCAGCTTAAAAAGCACGTCGCGAACCCTGCTTCAAAAAAGTTATCGTTTTGAACTCATTTTGAATTGAAAACACAAATAAACTGAAAACCTAAAAACAGCTAAAGCAAAAATATCTTCATATGTGCCTCTTGAATGCATATGTGAAAACTAAAAGTTTTAATACTCCAGCAAAAGACAAACATATCTTCACACAAACATAACTATCCAAAATAGAGCATTACATACCTTAATTTACAGAGTCCCAGAAATACAATGGCACACCTATATACAACTTAAAGAAGCTAACCCGACATAAAGAGCCCTATGTCATAAACAAGCTCTAAAGAGGAAGATATTAGTAATATTTTGCATTAACAGCACAAACCGCCAATGCATTATTCCTCAACATTATTAAAATTAAACAAGGAAAAAGATACAACAAAAATGCATAAAGAGGTAAACTATTACCTCTAGCACAATAATAACCTTCAAAGGCGGCTCTGTAAAACCCAGAAAGTGAAGGTTACTGATTCACCTCCATGTTGGCTGGGGCAGCTTCAGGATGGTGGTGAAGCATTTCATTCCACATCATCTCCCTTATCATTTCTTCCCTTAAATCTTCATCTATGTCAAGATCAATTGGGACCTGTGCTGGAGGGTCGGAGCTTTGATCATATAGCGAAGACATGTAAGGGTGTTGTAGTGCTTCAGTAACACCAATCCTCTTTGTTGGATCAAAGACAAGCATCTTTTGTAGCAGATCAATTGCCAAAGGATGGGCATTTGGGTAAAGACAAGAAAAGGGTGTCCCAGGAGAACAAGGTAGCGATTTAATATACTTCCTCGCCTTTGGGTTATCAATGAATTCAATGTCATCCTCTCTCTGGCTGCCAAGGATGTTAATAATCAGCTTAAGCTGGTTGAGACACTCCGTACCTGGAAAGACGGGTTTCCGACCAAGGAGTTCAGCAAAGATGCATCCGACAGACCATACATCGATTGAGGTCCCATAATTGTCGCAACAGAGGAGGAGCTCTGGTGCTCGGTACCACCGAGTAACCACATACTCCGTCATGAACTGGTCCTTGCCACTGCTGGTACGTGCAAGACCAAAATCACAGATTTTCAGGTCACAGTTTGCATTGATGAGAAGGTTCCCAGGCTTCAAGTCACGATGAAGGATGTTTGCCGAATGAAGATATTTCAGTCCTCTAAGCAACTGTACAATGAAATTCAGATTAGTTTTATTACAAATAAAAATGCCTCAAAGCAAAAGGGATAAGAGTCTAAATTTTTAATATCTCCTAGACCTAACAATAATCACAATCATCACAAAAGCTATCAAGAAAGAAAATAGTGCAATTCAAATGTCATGTAAATAACAATATAACTCGCTTCCACGCTGTGATTGGTTGGGGGATTTAAAAGGGGATTTGAAAAGGAAAAGGGAAAGGGAAAAAGTAGGTGAAATGTGAATAAAATATGACAACATTTCACATAGTTTCACACTCCTTTGCACAGCCACATAATCAAATCCCCTTTTCCTTTTCCTTTCCAAATTCCTCAACCAAACACAACGTAACAGAATGCCAAGGTCAACAATGTAAATATACATTTGCCAACTCCAAACTAACATCATGAGTCTTTGAAATAATGATAATAAGTGAAACAGAACTAAAACAATACCGCAAAAAGCACAAAGCTATATAATAGATTAGTCACCACATCATTGCAACCGTAAATCTGCAGCTGTCACTACCAATGGAAATCAGACAGCAGTGGTCAAGTTATCAAACTCATGAACCTAATGTATAATCTCCACATGGATCTATGCCCGCCATTAACAGAACTTTCCATCACTAAGTTTCAATACTGAAGAATCTTCTTAGAATAAAAATTGTTCACTATGTATAAACAACTTACCTTAAATAATTGGTAAACTACAAATACACCCATGAGGTTTGTCAAAAATATGGATTCCCCCCTTGTGTTCTAGAAATCACAAGTACTCTTTTGTCAGAATTTTTCCTGCAACTGACCTAACAGAAAAAAATAAAATTACCCAAATACCCTTTAATACCAAAATGAAATTATCATACTATCCTCATTTTCATTCACCCACCACTAAATTCCTCTTTCTCCACCACCACAATATTCTCCCACCCTCGGTGACACACCAAATGCTTGTAGACAATAATGATGGTGGTGTTGAACGAGAGTGGAGAAGGTAGTACGATAATTGGGCAAAGTGATATTACTAGTTGAGAGAAAATGGGGAATAAGGAAGGTGAGATAGGAAAAAGAAAAATAATAAAATACAGTGTTTAACTTCATAAAGGTTAATATAGGTATTAAAAAAAATTGTTATTTACGCCATATACTCTTTTAGTCTAACTCAATGGTTGATTAACGGAGGGGGTTATTTGTTAAACCTCAATGGATGGAATGTAATTTCTCAAACCTGAGGGGTGAATCTGTATTTTTAATAGACATTATACACTCTGCTAATCTAACCTTAACGGTTGATTAACGGAGGGGGTTATTTGTTATGTGATTGGAAACCTGAAGGGGTGAGATGTAATTTCTCAAACTTAAGGGGAGAATCTGTATTTTTAATAAACCTTAGGGGGTGTATATGTAATCTATCCTAAATAATTAAGATAAAATGTTTATCTATGATTTCAATAGCATTGATTAGCAGATTAATATACCTGGAAGAGGAAATACTGGCAATGGTCATTCGTAAGTGCTTGAGAGGATTTGATAATCTGATGCAAATCTGTATCCATAAGTTCATAAACCAAGTAGACATCCTTGAAAGTTCTCCTATGGATAGGCATCATGACATCTTTCAAAGCAATCACATTTTCATGTCTAAGATGCCGGAGTAGCTTCAGTTCACGCAAAGTTCTCAGCGCATCAATACGGTTGTCAAAGACATTATGTATTTTCTTAATTGCAACCTTCTCATTGGTTTCCCTGTTAATAGAAGAGCATACAATTCCGTAGGCCCCTCGACCAATAGGCTTAATTGGCACATATTTGGTATCAATCTCAAACAAAGTTTGCCACATGGAAAAGTAATGCTTCCCTACAGACTTAATTCCATTTGGAGGCTCAACTTGAGTGGCCATTTGCCTGCAAATCACAATGGCAAAATAGACATCAAAAAAAGAAAAAAGAGTATAGAAATAAATTATTTTATTTAAAAGGACCAATCCTTTTGGATACCTTGCAATAACATTCTTCAAATCCTTTAACATATCAATCAAAAGCACAAACCCACAAAGTAGAGAAATGAAGTTGTAGAAATTTAGTCATTGCCAGGACTGGTAGTATATTAATCATTTCGAGAAATTCAATTGATGCCTATCACGCTATTCTACCTCACTTTTTGGCCACTAATCTTTACAGCGAGCATTTTTTATTTTTATTTTTGTACAATGATCATCTTCATCTAGGGTGGGAAATTGATAATTAATCACTGCATAACACGATGGCTGGATTCCAAGTGAATAAAGATTTTTCTTTTTCTTGTTTTTTTAACACATTTTCAACAACTGGATGGTGGACCAAAGTTCAAATTTTCCAGAACTAAATTAGACCCGTGAAAATGGAAAAGCACACTAACTGTTCTCACTCAATTTCCAAAAGTACTGCATACCCTTTTGCCTCAATACAGGCAATTCATGGAAAAAAACTAGTAGTTACTTCCAAATTTCCAACCAATTGAATTAAGGTTTAGTTCATTAATTGCACTTGCACAGCCACATAATCAAACAAAAACACAAAATAAAATTTTAAAAAAGATCTCAAAAAAGCAATGAAATTTCAATAAATGAAGATTACTCGTTTAGGAAAAACCTTAAAAAATAATAAATAAAAAGAAGAAAGAGATTCCAAACAAAACAGTACAAGATAGTTTACCGACAATTAAGCACAAAGCAAGAAAATTTCCATATATATCTCAGGAAATTTGAAAGAGCCAACTATAAATGCAAAAAGTCTTACTTCGTCGTTACAAAATTTCCCCAAAATTTCTTTGTCCTCGATTCTCTCTCACACGAAGACTGGCTTCTTCGTCGCCTTAATTTCCCGCAACTTCAATTTCTGAATCTTCAGCAAAATTCGCAGCTACTTGTTCGCTTTCCAAAACCCTCATACGAAAATCCAAAATCAGATTCGTTATCTGCATCAGAATTCACCATTCATCTTAATAAGTCCACGTTGAATCTCGAGCCAAATCCATCGTATCCCACATTCGAACCATCAAAACCCTCATTTCCCCCATTTTCCCCCTTGGAAGTCAGTCGAGTAAAAGCCCTAATTTTCACCAGATTTCGGGAATCGGATCAAAAAAGATCTTAGATAATGACTGCCTCGTTAGATCCGTTGGATTGATTATTTATATATATTGTACAGATACGTATATAGACATAGATATATATATATATATAGAGAGAGAGAGAGAGAGAGAGAGAGAGATTGTCAAAGCAGAGAGATATGGAGGAATAAACTGTTGATTCGTTATCTCGTCGATGGATCAGTGTGATGGAGAAGACGACAGAGATTAAAAAAAATTAAAAAAAAAACAAAAAAACAAAAAGATATAATACATATAATTTGTTTTAGGGTTTTTTTTTCAAGTATGATTTCTAATTTTAGGGTTTTTTTTAAATTGATAATTAATTTTGATAATTCGAATCGTTAATTTTTTTAAAAAAAATCATTGAATAAAATATTTAAGTAAACAAATTAATATGATTAAATATCGGTGATAATATGTTTAAATCATATAATTTTTAAAAAAAATAAATAATAAATATTATTTTAAGAATAATTATTAATTTTTTTTGTGATACACGACACCCTATAATTTTAAGGATAACTATTGTTTTTTTGTAATAAAAATTTAATTCAAATATATAGCTATTGATGTTTAAGTACTTTATTTTTTGAATGACTGTTATATTCACAAGTCTTAAAAGGTAAACGATTCATATTATCAAAACAATATCGGTGGTGGATTCCATAATCCACTCAGATGTGAATATGAAAAAAAAAAAAAAACAAACAAACAAAAAACTACTAATCTTTTCAGATATGTATTTTTGGTTAAATACAATATTTTTGTTTCCATCAAGATGGGATACAAATATCTTGCGTGCCACTTATATCGTGTTTTCTTTTAATCAAATTTAAGATGTTAGGTTTGAGTCTGTATTTTCTAATTTTTGTATTTAAATTTGTAACAGAAAGTTTCATTTATGTTTGTTGAAACGACTTTGGAATTCTTATTTTAAGGGTTGGTTTGGGATGTTCTAAAAAAAGTGTAATTTTTGACTTATTATTTTATATGGGTCGGGTTTGATGTGATATATTAGAGAGATGATGTGATTTAAATAAAATGATGTGACTTAAATAGGATAGTGACTTTTTCTTTTTGTATTATTTAGTTTATGCCAAACCAACCCTAAGTCGAATGTTACTGTGAGAACTAGATATTTTAATTATTTTTTTATTTTTTATTTTTTATAAAAAAATATATTAAAAATAGAGAGAATAATTTTATTTTTTTTTGTAATAACTTTTTGACTAAAAAAACTAATTCCCAATGGTGTGGTTTAGTAACAAGCAAATTGTGGACATTAATTTTCTTATCTAAAAAATTGTATAAAAATAAGCAGAAGTATTAGGATTAATGGCTTGTGTTTTGTTTTTTGTTTTTTAACGTATTTAAATTATTTTTTGGAAAATAATGTTTATATTTAAAAAAAATTAAAAACTATAAACAAAAAATTGCTTGATTTTTATTTTTATTTTTGAAAAATCGTAAATAGTTTACAAAATTTACTAAACACAAACAAATTTGATTTTAACTTATTTAATTATTATTTATTTATTTGTTCATTTTTCGCCCATATTTTCCGACTATCACCAATTGTTCATCACTACCACGGGGCTGGCCAATGATCTCCTACCACCACCTACCTTGGTCGCTAACCACCTCTCACTAGTTGTAGCAACTTTCGGCCACCATCTCTAATTGTAAACAATCACTTTTGACAACCACTTATTACAGATAGCAACTACTTGGTCATCACCTCCAGCTGTCGATAACCACCTTTGACAGCTGACCACCATTTTTGGCCACCATCTTTAACCGTCAATAACCACCTTCCGCCACCGCTTATTTTAAAAATAAATTTTAAAGTACTTATTTATCAAACATGTATTTTGTTTTAAATAAAATAAATAAATAAACTGTAAATATTAGCAAAGGACACCTAAAAGTTTGTTTTCAAATTCTTCAAGAACATGAAACCATATAAAACAATTAGGGCAAATTACATATACACCCCTTGAGGTTTGGTTAAATTACAGATACCCCTGAGGTTTCAAAAATTACATCCCGCCCCCTGAGGTTTGTATTTTCATAACAATTTACCCCCTGAGGTTTATATTTCATAACAAATTACCCCCTAATTTCTTATGCAAATATAGCATTCAGGGAGAAATTCGTAATTTCTCAAACCTCAGGGGTATCTGTAATTTAGCCAAATCTCGAGGGGTGTATATGTAATTTGCCCAAACAATTAACATATTTGAGGTTTTATATACACTTTAATAACAATCTTAAAAGATGTGATTAGCATAAGTTTTTTTATACATATAATTCCAACTGCTAGATCTGACTAGGTGAAAAACAAAATCTACCTTCGGAGATTTGTATGGCCCAAATAAAAATTTAATAAATATAGAAATAATTTTCAAGATTTTACTATTGATAAAATAAAAAATAAAAAAGATGAATTGTCGGCAGATACATTTGTACCATATTTCAACCTATAAAGAAAGAAAGAGAGTAGCAGCTAACTCTGGCATTGACTTCTTTTCGAAGACATGGAATAAATGCCCTTTTAAGATGCCAGAATACACCCTTCCAATCATAAGGATAGCTATTGATTATTATACATTATTTTTGTTCTATGAAAAGTGGGGCTGTGTTTGGTATAATTTAAAAATCAGTTTTGAAATATAAGTTTTTAAAAAGTAATTTCAAAATTTGAAAATTTTGTTTAGTTATATATTTTAAAAATAATTTGGTAATTTTGTTGTTGTTCTCTAGTTTAGAGTTCATAGTTTCGGATAATTCGTAATTCTTTTTATAATTAAATAGATAGAGGTGAAAAAAAAATAATAATTAATGATGTGTAGGATTTGAGAGGGGAGAAGAGACAGAAAAAATTATTGAAAATAGAAATAGCAAGGAAATTGAAAACATTACTAATATGCATAATATTTCCTAAACAACTTGAACTTTTTTCGAGTTGATTTTGATCCTCTATGGTACAATTTGGACTTTAAAAACAATTCTGATTTCCTCAGCCTCCGTTTGGAAAGTGGGTTGACTTTTTGACTTTTTGGCTATTTTAGCCTGGGGCTAAAAAGCCTGGTTTGAGAAGGACTTTTTGACTTTTTGGCTTTTTGGCTTTTTTGACTTTTTTTTGTGAGAGAGGAGTGTAATGATTATGGGTTGGATTTGATATTTTGTTTTTTGTGGCTAAAATAGTCTATTTTGTTTTTTGTGGCTATTTTAGCCCCTAACCCACCCAAACCAACTTCCCAAACTATGCCTCAGATTAATTTTGAGGCTAGATTGATCACAAAAGGCTTGAAGGAAGACACCATTGAAGATGCCAAATTTCTTCCACTATTAGATCCATAAAAATAAACATATCATCCGCACATACCAGGTGGGTGGGAAATAGGGGGAGAAGCCCGACTAATCACTATACCACAGCCAAATCTTACTGTAAATGATTAAACAGAAATATCTTGGACCCCTTTTTTGGAAGTTCCATAATGCCCAATTGATCTTAGCCCTTAATGTGTATATAGAGTCCACTCATGTATACGTAGACCCCACATTATGAGTGATGGAGATGAAAGTGGAGATTGTGAAAGTCATGTATGTGTGGAGTCTCTATCACAATCAAATGATTAAAACCTTCTGACAACACTTGCATTACCAAGATGAAAAGGTACGGGTGCAAGGGGTACCCTTGAAGAGAAGGCCAACTTTGGGTT